AGTGTGGACAACATAGCAAGAACCCGTCTCTACAAAAAAAGTAAAAAAATCAGCTGGGCATGGTGGTATGCACCTATAATCCTATCTACTTGGGAGGTGGAGGCAGGAGGATCACTTGAGCACAGGAGTTCAAGGTTACACCATTCTATCCCAGCCTAGGTGACAGAGTGAGACCCTGTCGCTAAAAAATCCCCAAAAAGAGAGCAAATAAGATCACATTCTGAGGTACTGGGAGTTAGAATTTCAATATGAATTTTGGTGGGGACACAAGTCAACTCAAAGCACCGACCTTCAATAACAATTCCCTCACTGTCCTTCAAGACTTCACTTGAGGTCCTTTTGGCTTCCGCCCACCCCTGTCCAAAGCCAATGACACATGTTTTTCTTTCCTTTTGTTTTTGAGACGGAGTCTCGCTTTGTCACCCAGGCTGGAGTGCAGTGGTGTGATCTCCACTCACTGCAAGCTCTGCCTCCTGGGTTCACGCTATTCTCCTGCCTTGGCCTCCTGAGTAGCTGGGACTACAGGCACCCGTCACCACATCTGGCTAATTTTTTGTATATTTAGTAGAGACGGGGTTTCACCATGTTAGCCAGGATGGTCTTGATCTCCTGACCTTGTGATCCACCTGCCTCGGCCTCCCAAAGTGCTGGGATTACAGGCCTGAGCCACCGCGCCTGGCTGACACATTTTTCATTGTTGCAGTATCTAACTTCATCAGTTTCATTATCAGTTATGGGCTGATCAGGAAAGTGGCCACCACTATGGAATTAAGCTTTATTCTAAGAGTTGGGGCTGGGCGCAGTGGCTCAAGCCTGTAATCCCAGCACTTTGGGAGGCCGAGATGGGCGGATCATGAGGTCAGGAGATTGAGACCATCCTGGCTAACCCGGTGAAACCCCGTTTCTACTAAAAAATACAAAAAACTAGCCAGGTGAGGTGGCAGGCGCCTGTAGTCCCAGCTACTCGGGAGGCTGAGGCAGGAGAATGGCGTGAACCTGGGAGGTAGAGCTTGCAGTGAGCTGAGATCCGGCCACTGCACTCCAGTCCGGGCGACAGAGGGAGACTCCGTCTCAAAAAAAAAAAAAAAAAAAAAAAAGAATTGGATACAATACAACTGCAGGAGAAGCTAGGGAAGAAAAAAAAGGTCTGAAAGGAGATGGCTGGACAATCAGAAAAGTCACTCAGCAGAGATCACAAAGGAAAGCTGACGAATGAGTCCATGGAAGGCTGTTCCCTCTGCATCCAGCAATGGGCCTGAAGTTTATGATAGGTCATCAGGGATAGCAATCAGGAAGAAAACTTGGATTGCATTGAGGGAGAGTGAGGACAAACTAGAATCCACAGGACAAACTGGAACCCACGAAGACAAAATGGAACTCACAGCTATCTTTCACATTGATGAGCATGTGATATGTAGCATAAGCTAATGCCCTTACCACGGAACTACACATGTGCCTTGCCCCAAGGCTTGGAGACACTGAAATAGAAAATCTGGTGGAAGTTGAAAGAGCTGTGGGCCGGTCAATGCTCTGTACTAACAAAGTATATTAGCAGATCAGCAACAACTCTTTGATCTGCATAGCATGTGATATTTCCATCAACCTTCAGAACACAAGGGCTGCTACTTCCAAATCTTATACAAATCTTACTTGATCCTTCCAAACTTACATGAAATGCTTTTGTGGACAATCCTATCCTGGAACCATATTGGGAAGGGACATTTGAGGAACTAGATTTCAACTTACCTAATTGACACAGTACAAACACCAGTGACTGTCAGATACCATGATGCCGAAGCTATGTCTTATACACACTAGCCTCTCATTTAAACTTCGTATCAGTCTTGCAAAATAGACCTCATCTGTAAAGATCTCATAAAAAAATAAAAATTAAAAAAAGAGGCCAGGCACAGTGGCTCACGCCTGTAATCCCAGCACTTTGGGAGGCTGAGGGGGGTGGATCATGAGGTCAGGAGTTCAAGACCAGCCTGGCCAAGATGCTGAAACCCCATCTCTACTAAATACACAAAAATTAGCTGGGCGTGGTGGCACACGCCTGTAATCCCAGCTACTTCAGAGGCTGAGGCAGGAGAATTGCTTAAACCCAGGTGCCAGAGGTTGCAGTGAGCCAAGATCAAGCCACTGCACTCCAGCCTGGGAGACAGAGCAAGACTTTGTCTCAAAAAAAAAAAAAAAAGGAAAGTCTTGCAAAAGAAATATTAGCATTCCCATTTTACATATGAGGAAATGAAGCCTCATGTTTATTCATAGATGAGTCAGTGGGGAAGCCCAGATTCTTCCCGACATCTGTGGGGTAGCCATCTTCCAAGATGACCCCCATGATTCTTGCCCATTGGTACTCATACCCTTTTGTAGTTTCCCTCCCAAATCAAACTGATTTGACCTGAGCAATCAGTAGAGCATTGCAGAAATGATGGTGAATGATTTTTGATGGTGGATCATAAAAGACATTGCAGCTTCTATCTTTCTCTTTCTTGAATCAATTGAAAGCCAGCTGATGTGTTGTAAGGATACTCAAGCAGCCTGAGGACAGGCCCATATAGAGAGGAACTGAGGCCTTCTGTAAACGACCTATCCATGTGAAGTAGATTTTCCAGCACCAGCATAGCTTTCAAATGACTACAGCCCCATATTTTACTGCAACCTCCTGAGACACTTCAAGCCAGAACTATAGAGCTAAGTGGCTTCTAAATTCCTGACTTACAGAAAATACGAAATAATGTTTATTACAGTTTTAAGTTGCTAAATTTGGGGTTAATTGGTTACACAGCATTAGATTAATATAATCTGTTAGATTCTGAAGCACAACTCTTTATTTTTCTTTCTTTCTTATTTTCAATTTTTTGTGGAGATGGAGTTTTGCTACCTTGCCCAGGCTGGTCTTAAACTCCTGGCCTCAAGCAATCCTCCCATCCCAGTCTCTCAAATTGTTGGGATTACAGGCAGGAGCCACTACACCCAGGAAAAGCACAGCGCTTTCTGTGACATTACGCTACTTTAAAATTTGTTTGGATAGGAAGGGCGCCAGCAGTTTGGGAAGCCAAGGCGGCAGATCACTTGAGGCCAGGAATTTGAGACCAACCTGGCCAACATGGTGAAACCCAGTCTCCACTAAAAATAAAAAAGTTAGCTGGGCGTGGTGGCTGGCACCTGTAATCCCAGGACTCAGGAGGCTGAAGCAGGAGAATCGCTTGAACCCAGGAGGTGAAGGTTGCAGTGAGCTGAGATCGTACCATTGTACTCCAGCCTGGGCAACAGAGTGAGACTCTGTCTCAAAACAAACAAACAAACAAACAAACAAAAAAAACAAAAAAAAAAGAAAAAAATTCATTTAGATTGTATGAATGAAGATTATGGGAGAAGTAGGACTTTGGAAGTCCACAATGTCCTGGTCTTGTCCTTAAAAAAAGGTTTTGAAATATGTTTGGTGCTTCCAGATACTGAGAGAGAAGGAGTGTCACATAGTGGTTAAACTGAACCTTGAGAATTAGGAGGTTTTTTTCGTTTCTTTTTTCTTCTTCTTCTTTTATTTTTTTTTTTGCCACTCAGGGCAAGCTGAGTTCGCATGAATAAATTAGAGGTTAAACCATGTATTTTTGCTGACTGGCAGACTTGGGCTGGAAATGGGGAAGATAAATGATAGAAATTGGATTCTGGTAGGGCAAGAAAAGTCCTGACAAATGGTGATGAAATGGGGTAGAACCTTCAGGACAGTCACAGTGAGGGGCTGGCCACCCTTTTGCTCCCGCTCTTTCTTTCGTCAGTGGGGCCATCCTCTCCTCCTCCCCACCAGTTCCGTTTTGATCTCAAACTCACTGAAGAAGCTCCTCTTTGTTCTGATCTTTCCAAATATCCCTTTCTTATGAAGATCTTTTCCTTTCTTAATAAGGCAAACATGTGCATTAAGGAACTTAAAAAAGCAAAACAAAATCAAACTTCATCTGAGAACCACCTCATTTAAAAAACTCTTGGTGTTTATTGTTCTCTCCAGTTGGTCTAGGATTGGAGAGGAGAGGTACTGAGCTTGGTGACTTAATCAGACCTTAGTTAACCGGCAATAGTTATTATCCTAGGATGCTAGTACTGCAAGAACCCTTCCAGAACATCTGGTGCAACCCTGCTCTTTTTATACAGGATAAATTTGAAGCCCAAAGAGATCAAGTGACCATTGTGACCATTGTGAACAGATATTAATTCAACGGCTGCAATCGGATACTTTTTTTGCTTGAGACGGAGTTTCACTCTTGTTGCCCAGGCTGGAGTGCAACAGCCCGATATTGGCTCACCCCAACCTCCGCCTACCGGGTTCAAGTGATTCTCCTGCCTCAGCCTCCCAAGTAGCTGGGATTACAGGCATGTGCCACCACACCCGACCAATTTTGTATTTTTAGTAGAGATGGGGTTTCACCATGTTGGCCAGGCTGATCTTGAACTCCTGACCTCAGGTGATCCGCCCACCTTGGCCTCCCAAAGTGCTGGGATTACAGGCTTGAGTTACCACGCCTGGCCAAATACGTTCTTTTAAATAGTCCATCTGTTCTGATTAGTAAAATGGGTGGAGTGATTTGAAGTTGGCGCAGATCTCCTATTTTGCAAGCACAGAAACACTAGAGAGAGGCATTAACCAGGTCAAACCCTTCCTAAGATGTGAATTGAACAACAGTTAGGCGTTAGGAAGAAAATGCTGCCTGACCTTGACTTCTAAACTCCCCTTAAACCTCGTCTCTGTGTCCCTAGAACCCAAGATAGAGTATGCACGAATAAACTTTTGCGAAATGAACGAACAAACTTCCCTCGAGGTCCTTCCCTGTCTCCCCAGCGCCCTCCCCGACTTGGGACTGCGCTATCATTTGAGTCCCTGTCTGGGGACTTTTCGGGGTCTTCTTCGGCCTCCTCAGACAGCGACTCCGTTCCCAAGACAGGACCAGGGCTCCCTTTTTCACTGCGGGGCGCTGGGAAGAGGCGGGTAGGCTGCTCACCTAATCTCTCGGGTTTTTCCTCAAGACGGGGTCATTTGTGTGAGGCGTTGTACTCGAGCACCCACAAAGGCCCGAACTGGTCTGGGAAACATTAGGGAGATGTGTTTACCGTCCTGGCTGACAAAGAAGGCCAGGCATTCCAGAAACCACGGGCGGCTTGACCCGCAGAACCCAAGTTCTGGCGGCTGTGGGCGCGGCACCGGACCGGCGCCGGCAGCAGGGCGGGGTCTGGCGGGGGCGGGGCCTGGGGGGTCAGGTGACTGCGCGGCGGGTGGCGGACGCGGAGGCTGAGGGGCGTTCGAGGCGCCGAGGGGCTGGCTGGGCCCGAGGGGTTGGTGGGGCAGCAGGGTCGCGGCCATGGGGAGCTTGAAGGACGAGCTGCTCAAAGCCATATGGCACGCCTTCACCGCACTCGACCAGGACCATAGCGGCAAGGTCTCCAAGTCCCAGCTCAAGGTGGGCGCCTCCTGACCCGGCCCCCGACCCGACTCTCCCCGGCGCGCTCTGTACTTCCTTTGGGTGGAAGCGGGACCTGGCGGGCTGTGACCACAGGGCGGGGCGGGCCGGAATGCGCCCGGTAGGCCCGCTTGGGGCGGAGTGGGTCTGAGACCCGGATTTGGTGTTTACTGCCTACCCCTTGCCTTCGGGCCTTGCCCTTGGCTGGGTGTGTTAGTTTCCGCGGGTCTCCCAGGGACTGGGAAAGGTGGAGGGCATAAGGCTGGGTTGAAGTCTGTGAGGGGCAAGTGTGGTTCCTTCTTGGCGTTGGAGAGCGAGGGGCAGAAAGTGGATTCTGAGGCGTCTGAGCCAGCTTACACAACCTTCCCAGAATTTTCCTCTTACTCCAGGAGAGGAAGGGACTTGCCCAGGGTCGCTGGGCAGAACCTTCTGCAGCCCACAGCCTCACACCAGCACTGTCCTCTAAACGGCTAGCTGCCCCGGAGGCTCCCAGGCAGTCCGGAGACGGCAGAAATGCCCCGAAGACCGGCCTCCAGTGTCTTCCTCCTTTGGGAGACTTTTTGACTTGAGAAGACCTCCCGCCCAGCGTCTTTAGGTTTGGAACTAGTGGACCGGGTGTGCTGTGTCCCACAGGGACCTTAGTTCCGGGTGAGGAGGGCTGATCTTTCTGGCACCCTGCAAAAGCGACTGCTTTTTCAGAGTCGTTATTGTGACTGCCAGAGACCCCAGAGTATAGGGCATAAATAAAGGGATGCTTGTAAATTGAGTAACCCCAAGCAGGGAAATTGGCACTCAGCCGGGAGAAATTGGCAGCTTCTTCAAAGTATAAAATATAGAAACGGACAAGAAGAGTTATTCATAGGCATTTAAAAATATACACATTTTAGATCTGAATGTCCGGTTTTCTTAGCCCCTTCTGGGAATAAATTCTGAAGATTGGGTTTGTTTTGTATATTTTTGTACAGTAATCAAGTTCTTGTGAGTAGTGGCTTTTATGCCAGTAGGATTAGCATTCTCCTTGTCTTCCTTTTGCCTCTCCTCTCTTTTTCTCACTGATAGAATCATAGTCTGGAAGGGTCCATGGAGATCATCCACGTAATTTTTATTTTACTTAAAAAAATTAACATACAGTAAAATTGACTTTTGGTGTACAGTTCTATGAATTTCAACATATGTATAGATTCATATAACTATCACCACAACCATGGCTTCCACAGTTCCATCATCCTAAAAAACTCCGTGATGTTGCCCTACCTCCATCTCAGCTGTTGGCAGCCATTGATCTTTTCTAATTGCTATAGTTTTACCTTTTCCGAAGTGCCTTGTAAATGGAGTCGTATAGTTTGTAACTGTTGAAACTGATTTCTTTTACCCAGCATAATGCCTTAGAGATTAATCCATTTTGTTGTGTGTACCAATAATTTTTTAAATTGCTAAGTAATATTCTATTGCATGGATGTATGGTAGTTTTTAGCCATGCATCCTTGAGAATTTGTGTAATTTCACAGTTTAGGGGAGTTATGAGTAGGTCTACATTTTACTTTACTTTTATTTTTACTTTTAACTTACCTATGCCATTTTATTTAAAGTAAGTTTTTAATAAATAGATGTAGCTGTGTCTTTTTTTTTATTCTTTCTGACAATCTCTCTTTTAATTGGCATCTTTAGGCCATTTACATTTAACGTAATTATTGATATGGTTTGATTTAGGGCTACCATTTTATTATAATTTGATTTCTGTTTCTTTTTTTTTCCTCTACTTTTCTTCCATCTTTGGGATTATTTGAATATGCTTCATTTTTTTTTTTTTTTCTCTTTTGGAGACACAGTCTGGCTCTGTTTCCCAGGCTGGAGTGCAGTGGTGTGATCTCAGCTCACTGCAACCTCTGCCTCCTAGGTTCCAGAGATTCTGGTGCCTCAGCCTACCAAGTAGCTGGGATTACAGGTGTGCGTCACCACGCCTAGCTAATTTTTATATTTTTAGTAGAAACGGGGTTTCACCATGTTAGCCAGGCTAGTCTTGAACTCCTGAGCTCAAGGAGTTCTGCCCCCCTTGGTTTCATAAAGTGCTGGGATTACAAGTGTGACTGACTGTGCCTGGCCAATATTCCATTTTAATAGTGAGTTTTTTACTATATTTCTTTGTGTAGGTTTTTTTAGTACTTGCTCTAGGAGTTAGAATATCCATCCCTAACTTTTCATAGTGTACTTAGAGTTAATATTTTGCCACTTTAAGGAGAATGTAGAAAACTTATCACCATATAGGTCCCTTTACCCTCACTTCTTTATGTTGTAATTGTCATATTTATTAATCTACATACATTGAAATCCCCATCAGAAAATATTAAATTTTTTGCTTTCAACCATCATTTCTCTTTTAAAGATCTTAGGAGAAGAAAAGTTTGTTCTTTTTTTCCAGATATTCCCAAATAACCTCTTAATTTTTTTTTTTTTTTTTTTTCTGTGCGGGAGTCGCACTCTGTCACCCAGGCTAGAGTGCAGTGGTGTGATCTCAGCTCACTGCAACCTCTGCCTCCCGGGTTCAGGCGATTCTCCTGCCTCAGCCTCCCGAGTAGCTGGGACTACAGGCACATGCCACCAAGCCTGGCTAATTTTTGCATTTTTAGGAGAGATGGGGTTTCACCATGTTGACTGGGCTGATCTTGAACTACTGACCTCAGGTGATCCACCCGCCTCGGCCTCTCAAAAGTGTTGGGATTACAGGCGTGAGCCACCATGCCTGGCCTATTTTCACACTTCAAAGCCAATGGTTTTGTCATTTTCTTCTCTTCCAGTTGATGGCATAAATGAGATTTTTTTGGATTACTTTGATTATACTTTATTCACAATTGTCTTTATGGCTGCTTATAGGAAAAGCGTCTTGGCAGAAAGTGATAAATACCAGTTCATAGGTTTCACCCACAGTACGTTGGTAATGCAACTGCGCAGTTGTATTTTGTGTCTCTCTTGTCTGTGTGAGACTTTGGGATTGGTTCAGTTCTGTTCATCTTGCCAGTGTTTGTAGAATTGAAAATATGTAAACATTTTTATTTAGGTCTCCTTTTGTGTTTGACCCTAGTTCTGTGTTCTGTTGGCTGGGAGTAGAGTTTTTGCCTTTATTTGTTGATTGATTGATTCATTCATACAGTAACCTTCTGTAAGTCTACTGTGTGTAAGGTACCATGCTCATTTAATAATAAGGTTAGTATTTTTAGGCTCTTAAGATTATCTCCTTGGAGGAAATGTCAAATAATTGATTTATTAAGCAGCAGACTAATAATTATGTATCCAAAATGATGGTTAAAATGTATTGCTTTGGAAAGCTATGTGGGTATTCTAAAAAATATTTTTGATACTTGCCCTTTTGAGTTATCTTCACAACTTTTGAGACAGAGAATGGATATATTCACGAGATAAGGGATATGGTGGTGAAAGGCAGAGAAAAAAGAAATATGAGTCTTTGCCTTCAAAGAGTTTAAATTTTGGTAGGTAAATTAAAAGACTAAACGACCATTAAAGAAAGCACTCTCTCTCTCCCCAGATGGAGATTGTATTACTCAGACAATTACTGATCCTTAAAAAACATAAAGTCTGGTGGTAAAGAAAAGAAACAGAAATATTGGGTAGAAGATACTGAGTGTGACAGAAGATATGGGGCCATGAGATTTTAAAGGAAGAGGCGATTTCTTCTCACTGGTGCGATTGCTTTATGAAAAAAGCTTCTTTGAAATGAACTCTGAAGGAAGTTAGGATGTGATTATGTAGGAATGGGGAAGATTAAGCCCGTTCTATTAATTAATTAATTACTTAGTTTTTTGAGATGGAGTCTTGCTCTGTTGACCAGGGTGGAGTACAGTGGCAACCTCCATCTCCCTGGTTCAAGCGATTCTTCTGCTTCAGCTTCCCGAGTAGCTTGGACTACAGGTGTGCACCACCATGTCTAGCTAATTTTTGTATTTTTAGTGGAGACAGAGTTTCACCATGTTGGCCAGGCTGGTCTCAAACTCCTGACCTCAAGTGATCCACCTGCCTCGGTCTCCCAAAGTGCTGGGATTACAGGCATGAGTGACCACGCCTGGCCTAATTTATTTATTTAATGGATATTTATTGATTGCTGTTATCCCTAGGGGACACTGAACTACTGCAAGAGACAGGAATGAATCAGGTCTTTAAGGGGACTTCTGTGTAACTTATTTTGATTGTAGTGTAGAACATACACATGTGTGTTCCTGTGTGTGTATGAGAGAGAATTATTGCTGGTGATAAAGCTATAGAAATAGATTGGGGTTAATGCATAGAAAGCTTTGATTGCCAGACAAATTAGGTAGATGCCAGGGGCCCCCCAGGTTTTCAGAGGATGAGGAGTTGTGATCAGAATTGCACTTTAGAAAGTTACTTGCCAGGCGCGATGGCTCACACCTGTAATCCCAGCACTTTTGGAGGCTGAGGTGAGTGGATCACCTGAGGTCAGGAGTTTCAAGACCAGTGTGGCCAGTGTGGCGAAACCCTGTCTCTACTAAAAATATAAAAATTAGCTGGGTGTGGTGGCATGCACCTGTAGTCCCAGCTACTTGGGAGCTGAGGCAGGAGAATCGCTTGAACCTGGGAGGCAGAGGTTGCAGTGAGCCGATATTGCACCACTGTACTCCAGCTTGGGTGACATAGCAGAAGTGCTGGCTAGAGTGAATTGGGAAGATAAGAGAAACCATTGCAATAGCCC